TTATAGGGTAACCAGTTAATTTTATACCCACCAAAATATAGTTTTTTGACTTTAATTTTTCTTGTAAAATTAAAAATTAAAAGATTTCAAAGTAACTAATAAAAGCAATTTAATTATAAGAAATCTAATATCTTTAAATGAAAAACATGACATGAAAATTTAAATAATACGTAACAAAAATACCTTATCTTATAAAAAATTCAACTCAAGAAAATAATTTATTCCTCTAAGGAAAAATTCAACTCAAGTTAATCTCTCATTTCATTATTCCATCAAGTAAAAAAAGGTTAAGTAAAGAACTTAAGGATTTTAAATTTTAATTAATTCAGTTATAAAAAGATAATGTTGAGTATTTTTTTTTAAGAAATTAAATTAGAATTTAACTAAGTTAATTTAAATTTAGTTAGCATTTAATTATAATTAAGAAATATAAGATCTAGAATTTTATTAGAGAATTAAAGACTTTCGAGTACTCTCTTTGTTCGTTTTTGGTCGACTTATTTTAACTTTTTTATTTTTAGAACATGAATTTTGAATGAAAATTAAACAATCTATATAATTAACAATTAATTTTTTTTTGGTGTTTATATATGTTTCTTATTAAGTATTTTTATTTGCTAAAATTTTTTTTAATGATTGTTCATATACATTACTAAATTTTAATTTAAAATTTATGTTTTAAAAATAAAAAAAGTTAAATTAAGCTTACTAAAAATGAGCAAGGGGGTATTATTTATTAATTTAATTTTTTTGAAAAAATATTTTAGTACATTATTAATTAATTGAATAAATGGGCCATGTAAGGGTTACAAATATTGAGTAAAATTTTTTTAGCCTTGGACCTTGGGTAAAAATCTCTTAGTCTTACCTATACCAGGACGGTTGACAACTGTTTAAAATTGAAAATGAAAATTAAGAGTGAAAATTTTAAAAAATATACAGCAAAAGAAAGGTAAACGGAAGAGAAAAAGCGGATATAACTTACCCAGATAATGGTGGGATGAACTCCACCATGCGATCCACTGGTTGGATCGCGCTCTTCCTCATTGAGGAAGAGGTGGCGCTCACTCTCATTTGGGGATCGAATCCCCAATTTCTAATTAACAATTAACCTAATTTACTAATCATTATCCTTGTAAAAAAAAATAATAATAATGGTGGGATGAGTTTTCCTAATGATTAAGTACAAAATGGGATCTTACTCAATTTTTGCTTTTTAAGAAAATAAAGGTCATAAGGTACGTGGAGCAAATTGACACACAAGTGATTTTATTTATAGAGAAACAAAATGTATTTGGTCATGTTGGAATATTGAAGGATGGTGCTATTGGGTAACTTTTTTGTTTCATCTTTTTATATAACTTTTATATGTTATTAAATTAGTGGGTATATTCAATATCATAAGTTCTATATGAATTAAAAAAATTAATCATTTTAATGATACATTAAATTATACAAGAAAGTAAGACAAAAAAATTAGACAAAACACAATTCTCAATATTGAATTGGTTGTACTTTTGTCATTCCTAGTCAAAAACGGGTTGGATTACTTTAAAGAGATTCACTTTCGTAACCTGACCCAACCTATTCATTGAAGCATACGAATCTTCCAAATGAACTATCCTCTGTTATTTTTTCAAGAATGACTATTACTACTACTACTAATAATAATAAAAAAACAGTCAGTTTCCATTTTAAAGCCAAAAAAAAAAAAAAATTCAGGTTGCATTTTATTCCTTTCTCAAAATGAATACAAAAAAATTCAAGAAATACACATTAGAGCAGGATTACAAAAGGCCTAAAGAAATCTTTCTTCTTCGAGAAGAATTCGTCAGAGCAAAGCTTCCCTTCTTCACTATTAAGATCATTATTATTCAAAACGGAGGTTGAACAAGTCTTTACAACATGATATATCGCAAGCTTTTCAGAGTGTATGCCTCTTATGCTTTTTACAAACCATAAGTATGCAATTTCTTGCAATTGCCAAGAAAGTTGTAGCAATTCAACTTAGTGCAGAAATTCGAAGACAAGCTCAAAACTACACAAGTAAAAATGGAAATTCTTGCAACTTAAACATGCAGATTTCCAACCAAAGATTGTTTCCAAGGGTTAAACCCATTTTAACCCAAACATGTTAAATACAATTCTCAAAAAAAAAAAAAATTCCAGAACATGCAAGCAAAACCAAAATTGTAACAATCTCGAAATGATGTACAATTCGCAATATGGCTAACTAGATGATACACTGAAACACAATTTCTCGTAATCATACAAAATCCAAACATGCTGAACTTCATACCTAAAAATTTTTCTACCGTGACTATTTGCCTATCCAGAATATGCTAAATTCAGAACGCTCAGCAATTCAAGTTTTATGTCAAACATGAAATTAGAAATACAAGAACAAACAGTCTGAATAACTTGAACAGGCATATAAAACACAAACTCAAATCCAAAATTTAATAACACGATCACAGCACAAGAATTCATTTTATGCAAATCACGGACAGAAATTGAGTATAAAATGCGAACCCATTTTAACACATACGCACTGAACAATTCTTCAGAATGCAAATCAAAATCAAAGCTATCATAGATCAAACAAAACAACAAGTTCAGCCTTATTCCACCACAATCAGACTGTGACCATTGTGTATGTAGATTTTAATATAAGGTTACATAGCGTATGAATGTCGAGTCTTTGTCAAATGCATTAATTCATCCCTGAGATGCAGTCCGGTGTTATCAGAGTTAACAGCGTGTTTCCAAGAATAGAACCCATCTTGTGGAATTATGTATGTGGAATTATGTATGTGGATTTCAACAGAAAATTTATAACTCACCTAAAATTAATTGACAACAAGTAGAATGCTCCTTTGTTAAATCCCAGTATGGGATTTTTCCACTCAACAGAGACTAACTCCAGTTGGCTTGACCTCGCTACACAATCTCGTAACACTTCTAATTCGAATTCAATTCAACAAAAAATTAAAGGAAATTGAAAGAAAATGTTGATTTAATGCAAAGAAATAAAAGAGTCCTAATATGCAAATCTAAGTATGAATTATTTTTACCGAAGAGGAGAGAAGACTGAAGATTATGCCCGAATTTGCATCAGGCCACTGAAAGACACTGGAATTGGATCTGATTTTTTTGGGGAACAGGTCGGAGCTGCTACTAATCGCCGTACCACGCACAGAATCACTGAGAACCACCGGATCTGGTTCTGAAAACGGAATATCTTTACTGTTATAAATGTTTAGCACCGCCGGAATCTCGTCTGTTCCCCACCGCTGCTACCGAAAGCCAACTTGGAGAATAGAGTGATGGTGTATGGTGATGATTCTTCCGGTGGGATCTGGAAAGTCTCGGACATGGTTTTTTTTTCTTTGTTTTTTTAGTTGATTAACTGCCAATTTTAATGTCGGCGAGTTTCGCATAATTTTCATTTCTTAATTTTTTAAATATTTTTATTTTTAATTATAAAAAAATTATTTTTATCAATTAGTTTATTAACTACATCTAAATATGTCTTTTTTAATTTCTCAATTTAAAATTAAAAATAAAAAATTTAATAGATTAAAAAAAATATAAATATATTTAATAAATTAATAGACAAAAAAATTTTAAAAAAAATATTTTTATAATTAAAGGATTAAAAAAATAAAATTTTTATAATTAAAATATTAAAATTAAGAAATAAAAATTATACAAAAACTTAAAATTAAAGAATCAAAATTCATATTTAACCTTTTAAATTTATCAAATGGTTCCTGTCTGCGGAGCAAAATCCAATAGTTATAAAAAAAAAAAAATTATACAAACATCATTTTAATTAAATAATAGTTTTTTTATGTTTAACTAAATAAATAATAGTTTTGCAAATGAGGAAATGAATTTATATATATTTAAGGTGCTATTCATGGTTGGGAAGGGAGTTTTCATTCTGTTGTTTTTGAATTAAATCCATGAATATTTAATTGTATTTTTTATTTTGTTGATTGGATTAAGTTTATAAATATTTAATTATACATAATTTTTGTTATTTACTTTTTACTTTTCATTTTTACTTTTTAAATGTTTGTTGTTGCATTTATTTAAGAGAAAAATCAAAGTACGACTACACTTAACGTGGAAATTTATTTTTAATTTAAAATAATTTTTTATTCTATATTTTTTAATATTTACTCTAATTTTATTATATTTATCAACATTTAAATATTAAAAGGGATATCTTTATTGTAAAAAAAAAGGGGATAAATTTGTTTTAAAAGGGAAGGGAAAGAATAACTTCAAAACGAATTATTTGATTTTATTTTTATTTAATTAGTACTTTAATTTATGAAAAGATTTATATAATTTAAAAATATAAAATTATTTCAACAATATAAATTATTTTTGGTTTTTCCACCCGTAGTTGGAGGTTAAAGAAAGTGGCTAGAGATTTTTTTTTTTTTTTTTTTGGGTACTTTGGGAGGAGAGGAGAGGAGAGGGATATAGGTCTAAATTGAATTTAAATTTGGTTTGATAATAATTTGAAATTAATTTTAAATTTTAGTAAGATAATAATTTAAAATTAAGTAGATATTATAATGAGATTAATTATAAATTAAAATTAAAATTTTGATAAGGTAAATGGTGAATCTTGAATAAATAATCTAATTTAAAAGAGTTTTTTTATTATTAGATTGAAATTAAGATTTGGTTTAGGAGTGTTGTCTTGTAGTTATAAGGGTAAGGGTGCGTCTGGGATTATAATCGAAAGTTTTTCTTGTAATTGTATGAAACTTTTAGATGAATATATATTTGGTAAATTTTTTAGATTATTTTTCAAAAATTATATAAAATCATAATAGATTTATAGTAATTTTAAATATAAAACTAAAAACCTCATTTTAGAATTTTTTGATTATAACTTTAATGAAAAACACTTAATATTTAATATAATTATAAAATAATCAATTAAAACTCAATCTCATATAACTTAATTATATCATAATTTATAATATTTTAATAATTATAACAAATCTGAAAAAACTTAAATTATTAAGAAGTAGTAAATATTTTTTATTTTAATAATTATATATCTTATAATAGTTTTAAAATTTTAAT